ATGAGCAATTACTAAGAAATTCCAGGCCTGTGGCTGCCTGGCTGAGCCTCCCTGCGGTTTGGTCTGATTACAGCTCCTCTGAAAGGTTTCCTGGCCGGCTGCAAAGCCACTCACTACCTCATCAAGACCCAGGACCGGGCTCTCGCCCTGTCGACTCCCCGGCCCCTCATTCGGACTTGGTGATTAAAGTACTGCGGCTAGTCTTTTGATGTTAGGGAGCATGCAACGTCCTCCTTGATTGCTCAGCGGGCCCTGCTCCCAGGCTGCCCGGGCACGCTGACGCGCACTCCTGCGGAGGCCAGCGTAGCGGTCTCTGGCCCAGCTCACTGCCAAGCACCCTGGCTCTGCTCGTCACTTGCAGACCCATCAGGAGGCTGCCTCTCAAATCCCATGGATATGCCACTGCTTAAAATTGTTTCACTTGGGGAAAAAACACCTCCCTGACTGTGTGGTTGGAGTAGGAGTCATAGGACCTTTTGTGACCAGAAATAACGCTCGTTTTTAGTCAAGTAGGAGGGCTGTAACTGAATCTGCGCGTGTGCAGAGTGACCTGGGTTTTCACAGTAATAGTATAATCCCGCATGTCTTTTTATTTGATGGTCTCAGGATATATTCTTGAGTCCCTGTGCTACTGGGAGTCAAAAAAAAACAAAGGAGGAAGGGGTTATGCAGTTCTGGGCGTGCCAGAAATCATCATGTGCACGTGTTACTATCGAGGGGCAAATGGAACATGCAGTGTTTAATTTTTACTTTCACATCTGTGTGGAGCCTATGAAAGTGCTCATTTTAGCCTTACTTTCTTATCTAGATGAAATAAATTCTTCCTTAGCTGAAGGCCAAGCAAATTTGAATTAGAAACTGGAAGGAACAGGATATGAAGAGTTGAGGTTCCAAGTGACGTAAATTAGCAGGTTTACAGTTTTTGTCCTTCGAGAATCTGAGGAAAACCATAGACTTCAGGCAAGTATGGCCCTGCGTGTAACACTGCAGAGAGATTCAGGGAGTTCTGAGACCACAGGAAGTGTGTCTGCAGACCCAGGTGAAGAACACTTCTGCCTCGCCGGAGTTTTCCAAGTTTGCCTGATAAGGATCACCTGGGGCACTTCTTAAAACTACAGTTCCAAGGCCTCGACCCAAACCTCCTGAATCGGAACCCAGGGACACCACCGGGTACTGTTACTGTGAACACGTGCTCCAGAGCAGCACTGCCCACTGGGACTAGAACCCGGGTCACAAATGCAAGCCACATGTGTCATTTAAAATTTCCTAGTGGCCACATGTGAAACTGTAAAAACACAGGTGAATTAATAACATTTAGCCCAGTATATGCAAAATATTATCATTTCAACATGTAATCAATATTTTTTAAAGTATTGAGATATTTTACATTCTTTTTATCATACTAAGTCTTCAAATTCCAGTGGGTATTTTACACTGAGAGCACATCTCAGTAGGGACCAGCCACATTCCAGTTGCTCACATGGCGGCCCATGGCCACACTGGAGGCAGCCGTGTAGAGCCGTTACTTCCCAGTGGGCTAGCGTCTGTTTCAGTCCAGATCAGCGACACTAGAGGCGTGACTCTTACTACAGGCGTCTGCCTCACGCAAATGAAAAGAGGTAAAGTAACCCACATTTTCGGTTTAGGTTTGAGGTTTGGCCTTGTCTTCATCTTTAAATGAATCAGCATCCTAGTTCTGTCCTGGAGTTTGTATAAGCACTTCACTCCTGTCTCCCTTCCTGAGGCCTGGGGAGTTTCTGAGGGCAGTTCTCTGCTCCCAGCAGTGGCTCACCCCCTATAACCGTCCCCGCCCCACCATCCCACCCCGGGTTGGTCAGGGTCTTTGAGAGCCTCTCCAGTCTTCAGTCCTCCACTGGAGCCTGCAACATGCAGAAAGTTCCCACTGGTCCCCCAGGGGCAGGAAGCCCTTGTTTTGTGGTAAGGCTGGCATTTCCATGCTCTCCCCTTCTGCTGATGGGGCAGGGATGTGGATGTAACCTGGGGTGGGGCATGGTATTGCTCTGGGCAGCTTTTGTTCTGAATTTATTGAGTTCATGGTGACATTTTAAATTCTCTTGACAATTTTTTTTCCCTTTGCCCTATTAATCCAATTAGAGTGAAGGATGAAAGTCGAAATTCTTTAACAAAATGTAGTACAAATAACCCTTCCCTATTCTTTATAGCCAGAGGGAAGGGGGAAAAAATCTTTCATGCTCTCCTAACTTTCCCTCAGCTAATAGAGGGCTGCCTGAAAGGTTGAGAGTGTTACCGCACAAAATTAGGGTTCATTTGCCCGATGCACATAAACAAGCCAATTAATTACAGCATCAGCTTTTGGGAAAAGAGATCAGCTTTATTCTGCAAGATCCATCTGCAGAGAGGACGGGGGTGGGGCGTGTGCCCTCGGATCTGTCTTGCCAATGGAGGATCTGGGGTGAAATTTAAGAAGTTAGGGAGAACAGCCTGGCACGTGGAAACGCTGGTGGGACTGGTTTTCATTGGTGGGCTTCAAGCATTGATGGTAAAGTTCTAAACATGGATGACAGGGTTCTAAACATTTTTGATGAGGATGGGAAGGAATTTTAACATCGGATCTTCCTGAAGGACAGACCCCTCGCTTCTGATAAAAGTCTGACTTTCAAGTTCCAATTGTGTCCCCGTCCTTGGATTCTGTGGGAAGGAGGATCTTTGGTCCCGAGGTCATTGCAGGTTAAGATTTCTTCTTTTGGGCCTGCTCTAGCTACATGACTTTGCAGATTTTTGGAAAGGCAATTCTTAATCGTTCTGTTGATAATGGGGTCAGTTGAAGTGGTTACAAGAGGATGGTTTGGGGAGGGAGTGAGGAAAGGAGCCGCCCTCCCAGGACAGCATTCCCGCTTCTGGTGGGAAATGGTGCCGCTTAGGATTCCAGTAGGGAATGCAGCCAGATCCAAGGAGATCTCCTGGTGGCTTCTAGGGCCCGGGACAAAGCCACATTCCTCAGCAAAGTGGGAGACACTTGCTGGAAGGCTCTGCAGCAAGCCCTGGCTCCTGCTTCCTCAGGGCAGGTGGAAGGATTTGCTGAAGAAAGATGAATCATCAGGACCTCAGGGCTGGTTGTTAGGCTTCGATTAGAAAAATCTTTCTCCCTCCATCCTCACTCACAAAAGCAGGCCTGGATTTGTGTGTTACACTTCTTTTCTTCATTAAGTTTGGAAAGCATGACTTTGCACTTAAGAGTAGCTGGAGGCAGAAATGTGAAAGATCTGAAAAGCCAGAAGGGCTGAACCATCTGAACACCTGAGTGCTCCACCCCAGGTCACCCTCCTCCCACGCCCTTCCTACAGGAAGCATAGCCATTGAGACTCATCTCACATACTTTACAAAAAGCATACACAATTACAAAAATTTCAAGCAATGCAAAAGTGAGTAAAGTAGAAAATGAAGGCTTCTGTCAGTCATCCCCCTTTCGAGAGTTAACCATTGTTGAGTGATGTTTAGCCTTCTGGTCTAAAGTATATCAGCTATTCACACTCAGATTTTTAGTTGTTTTTGCAAAAAGTGGCATCCAATAGAACTCACCCTTTTCACTTGACAGTATATCAGACCCCCTTCTGTGCCAGTGCAAGTCCATCTGCGTTGTTTAAACCATTGCAGAGCATTTCAGTAGAACCATTGACCTTCATTAATTTCACCAGTCCCATTGTTTCCCATTCTTAGCTGCTGTAACCAGTGCCGAAGTGAATCCCACTGTAATCTCATATATCTTTAGGAGCCTTCACCCCTACTGTTTCTGTAAGAAAAATCAAGTCACTTTGTCAAGGGATGTGTTCATTTTTTATTTTGCTAGATACTGCCAATTGCTTTCCAAACCCTTGTGCTCATTTACATTCCACACACCTTCATGAGTCATTTTTAGAGGAATTTCTTCCATAAAACTTGTTTCTCGGTATGCTCCAAGGAATCAACCTCCTTCGGTGAGTTGTTCTGAAGCTGTTTTAACAACTATTGTCACTGAGAAGCTGTCATGCAGGCGTGGTGCTTGGCACTGGGGATCGATATGTTGGGGAACCAAACCAAATAAGGTCCTTGCCACCCTAGAGCCAGCGTGCCAGCAGGGGAGCCTCCTGAGAGCAGGACATTCAACAGATCCTGGCTGACTGTGCTGAGTGGGACGCTGTGCCTGTCACAGGGGTACCCTGGGAGAGAGGAGGACAGTCATTAGTTTTTCTGCCTGGGTCTTGTGCTCTGTTGGGAATTAGAGGGAGGCAGTAAGCTGAGTGCACACTAGAAACCTCCCATAACTGACTCCTAAGTCAATTAGCCTGGATTACTGTGATAGTGAAGAGCCCATGGAATTTGAAGCCATGGAGTAGGGGAGTCAAATGAAAGTGCGAATATAACTTGAATAGTTTCAAGGGGAACAAGGACCTTTAAAATGAGAAGAATATCAATTTCTCTCCCTCTACCACCACCACCTCCTTTTCATTTTTTTTCAAGGTAGGATCACATTGATTTCCACTGAGTAGGGACTTGTCCAAGGTAGGCCACCCAGACCCGAGGTTTCTGCTCTTGAATCCTGAGTGGTTCAGGAGATGCTTAGCATACTTGGAAAAGAAGCGTGTGGAGACCAGGATGGGGTGAGTGTGGCAAGGCGGCACTCATTGCTGAGCATGTGGTATGCTCACAGCAGAAAGGAACTTCTAGACAAGCTTAGTTTCCCCATCTGGAAGATGAGAAACAACTTCCTGTCTGTTCCTTTGTGACCCATACTTAGATCTCTAAAGGGCCCTTACCAGTAAAGGAAGCAGCCACAAAGGGCTTTCAAGAATGCAGTGGGGGGGTGCTCTGGCTCTGCTGTGGGGGATCTCTTGTGCCCTCTCACACCTTCCTTTTCATACTCCTGCCTTTTGACCTGACAGGGTAAATCTTCCTTCTTCACTGCCACCCTTCCAGGGTAGTAGCCACCTCCACCATCACCTCAAGTTACTCATGGCATGCTTTGTCTCTCCTTGATACAGAGAAAAGAAGTTAAAGGCCAGAGTTCAAGAGTTGGTGAGTGCCTTGGAAAGACTCACCAAGAGCAGTGAAATCCGACACCAACAATCAGCCGAGTTTGTTAATGATCTAAAGCGAGCGAACAGGTAAGATCTCTCTTCCTGGATTCCCAATGGTACTTGGACTCCTACATCAGGGAGGACATTTCCCTAATTGCTAGGAACCAACTCCAGAGAATGGTGAGTCCTCACCTGCCCCGGTGGAGAGCTTGGTCTTCCCTAGGGCAGCATTTCCCAAAGTGTTCCATAGAAACCTGAGAAATGCTTGATGAAGACGAGTCTTTGAGCCAGATGTGTTTGGGAAATGCAGCATACTGTGGTCCCCCCTTAACACTTCATATAATAAAGGTTCTGAGAAGTCATACAAAAAAGCGATTTTTTTTTAATGTTTGTGTTTAAGCCAATATTTTCCAAACAAAATTGACTACAGAACCTTTTATTTGAGCAACATTTAATATTTGATGGAACACCTTAGGGAGCACTGCTCTAAGACAGCAGTCCCAAACATTTTGAGCTCAGAACCCCTTTACACTCTTAAAAAATTGAGGACCTCAAAGAGTTCTGTTCTTATACATTATTTATCTATTGTTAAATCTCATTTTAGAAACTAAAACTGAGATAAGTTTTTTAAAGTTTTTAATTCGTTTATAAGAAACAATAAATTCACTACATGTAGTACAAATGGCATTTATTTAAAAAATTAGTTTTCAAAAAAATTAGAAGAGTGGCACTATTTTTACAATTTTGCAAATCTCCTTAATGTCTGGTTTAATAGGAAACAGCTAGATTCTCACATTGCTTCTATAGGCAATATATTGCTTTGAAATATATCAAGAAAACCCAGCTTCATGCAGATCTGTAGTTAGAAAATAAAGGACCTCGCAGATGGCCCTCGAAGGGGTTTTGGGAATCCCTGAGGGTTGGTCCTCAGACCACCCTTGGAGAACCTGACTGTACATGGAAGGTATTTGGGGTGCTGTTTTGGACCAGAGAAGGTATCGGGACTTACCTAGCCCTGGGCTCACGCACTGACGTCTTCTCTCTGCGCTCCCACTGGGGACAGTTCAGAGAGGCTTGTGTTCCATGTTCGGCTGGCAGCATTAGCTTATGGCCTGTGTGCTCTGAATCCCACCAGCCCAAAGCATAAAGGGAAGTCATGGGGGCATCTCCACCCTCCTCCTGGGTGAGGTCACTTAGACTGCTGTTTGTGAGGAACACTCTCCTGTAACTTGACCACCTGTTGCGGGCAGCCATGGAACAGCAGACAGACTCAATGCTTGTATTTAAATGACAAGTTTGTGGAATTCAGCTACCTTTTCTGCTTATCTATTTTGGATGGGGCTAGTTTGGATTGTTGGTTTACACCCCTCCTGATATGTTACTGACAAGCCTCTAGCAGTCAGGCTGAATTATTCATGGTTAAGCCAAGAGATGATTGGCCTTGAGTGCTGAAATGACGACTTGATTTCAGATTCTTACTGAAGAGGCTGAGTGACTAGTTTCTTCAGAGTGGTGCTCAGTGGACCTAGTTATCCAGGGAACAGGACAGTGTGTGTCTCGATGTTCCTTAGGATGAATCCTTCTCATTTCCCTCTGTTCCCACATAGCAACCTGGTGGCTGCCTATGAGAAAGCAAAGAAGAAGCATCAGAACAAACTGAAGAAGCTGGAGTCTCAGATGATGGCCATGGTGGAGAGACACGAGACCCAAGTGAGGATGCTCAAGCAAAGAATAGCTCTGCTGGAGGAGGAGAACTCAAGGCCGCATACCAATGAAACTTCACTTTAATCGGCACTTGAGCACCAAAGTTCTGCCTATGGAAGCTAAACTATAGCAGGTCACCGAGGAGAGAAGGGCTCCAGGGGACAGAGTACCTGTTGGGAGAGTGAGAAAAGGGAAGATTGGCAGGTAGATGAGCACTTGGACACTGGAGTGCCATGAACTCAGCCCCAGAGGCGAGTGGCCCTGGTGACACAGTGTAGACTGTATCCAGAGGACCCTGTTCCTCCCCTCCTGGGCCACGGGCAGTGTGGAAATACTCACTCATGTGCCGTGCTCAGCAGGCCTTGCTTCTGCTTTCAGCACTGGCTTTGTCGCTCTCCCACCTGTTCTGTTCTGGAGGTTGTGCACCAGTGGTATCCCAGACATTTGTTTTGTAAGATTGTCCAGTCTTCTCTCTTATCTTTGACATCCCCGATTTCTCCTCTTTCCTTCTCTTTCAGAGGAAAACAGGGGTGTGTATGTCTTCAGCATCTAGAAGAACTGCTGATTTGCTTATTGCAACAGGCTTTGATTTTCATGTCCCACGTATCAACTCTAAGATAGAGGCCATCACTCAGAGGTGTTCTGGGAGGTGGCTTACAGGATGGTACACAGGTGTTCCTTACAGTCCCAGATAGAGTGAAGTTACAGGTAGAGAAACCCCAGGGCTGCTCCTGAACAATTCTGTATGGGAGAATGAAAACTTCCTTCACCTCTCAATGTGGAGGCAGGGCTGGGAAGGGAGCTCTCTTTTGACTCTGGAATCTCCCCTTCCCAGTGGAGCCTTACTAACAGTCAAGAATAATTGCTGAGAGAATCCTGTTGATATGTGTAGTGGAACTAAAATTTTATCAGGAGTTTTCTCAAGAGCAGAGGAGCATAATTAGTACTTTTCCCCCACCCGAGGGCACTACGTAATTGCTGTTCTGCATGAATCAGAGTACATATGTAGCTCTGGACCTGCCTTTGTTTCTCTAAGGGCAAGAGGCAGGACACTGAGTAGATACTGAATGTTTCGCAGGCTGATTCCACCTATTTAAGAAATTGCTACTGAACCGCCAGTTCAAGACTTCGCTCCTGCTGTCAGGAAGGGCACAGGGTGAGGGAATGGGTGTTGAGGCCTCTTTTATCCCCCCTACCCCCAGACATGGTGATGATTACCATATGGTGCTTAAACAGGTTAAATTTCAAGCAAAATGCTGACAGGGCTGGGCAGGACTAAAGTACCTGAATTCTTTCAGGAAGCTCTTTCACCTTAAATTCGTTATTCCTCTTCTACTGTAACCTTTTAACCTTTACCATAAGCATCACTGTTTCGCTTTGTCTTTCAAGTCTTCTGTAGCTGCCCTACACTGACACATTTTAAAGGACCACTTGCCATTTATTCTGTAGCACCTGAAAATCCACCCAAAGTCCCCTATGAGAAATGGGGCCCAATGCCACAGTTCACAAAGTTTTGCTTATGTCCAGGTCACTGCATTAACCACATCCATGAGCTAAAAGTTCTGTCTTCAGAGAGCATGATATGAGTTTCTCAGCCTTCTGCCCAATGGGGAAGGACACTCCAGCCACCACCATGGAGAACAAAGCAGTTCTAGCCCAAAAGCAACCACCCTTCTTCTCATGCCAGCAGTGACGGCTGCCCCATCTTCAAAAGAAATCAACTGGTAGCATTCTGGAAGGACCAGCTTTTGGGTGCTTTGATCACTGTGAATGTAGCCACTGGCTTCTGTTTCTGTTATGAATCATTTTATCAAAGTTGGTTCTTGTGATTTTTTTTAATCAATTTTTATTCTTTGGATAGTTTCATTTTGTCACAAGGAAAATGTTTTGGCTGAAAAGTATGTGCAACAAAAGGTTTAGTAGACAAAAATCATTGTTTTCTCCATTTTTCCAGGCTGCCTAGGGAAATGTCCTTCCCCAAGCAAACCGGGATGTGCAAGGTGGGAAACCATTCATGGCTTTCTCTTCTGTGACTGATCAGGCATCAAAACAGACAGTTTTCATTTTTACCAACACTGAGAAGTATGGCTGATGCAGGTATAAAATCTTGTCTGCTGACTTCTCTCTACCATTCTTGCTCCAAGTTAAAACAGAGAACCCACCCTTTTAGGATCAGGTAACTCCCTCACACCTGGCAAGTCTCCGCTCCTCCATTACTCATCCTACCTAGCCTCATTTTGAGTTTATTATTTCAACATAATACTTTTAAATATGTGGTGACTGGGTGAAAACTATTTCCCCAGCGAAACTGTTACCTTTATATATGTGTAGAATAAAAAAGCTATTAAGTAGTCAATTTCCTTTCCTTGTATTTTTCAAATATACTCCCTAAGATACAATCCTTGTTGAAGGTGAACCAGCAGGCACTTGGTTATGCTAATTGTGGGGTCTCCTAAAACTGCATTGATTAAATAAATGATTGCAGGTGCCTGGATCACTTTCCTTTTTTTATCACCTGAATCTATCTTTCTAAATAGGAGCTGGTTTATATTAACATCTCCATCGGGGTAAACAATGATCTTGAGTCTAACTTGTATGAGGTTAAAAACCTTTCAGAATTTCCTATTTTTGTTTTCTTCCAATTTCCTCAGTGGTTATCTCTGTTGGGCAGTCACGTTCTCTGTTCAGAGTTCAGTCTTTGACTCTTAGAGACATGGGCATGGCAAGAAAGGATCCATTTCACAGTTCCCTCGGAGTATATTTCCCAGAGCTGAATTGAGGCAAAAATCACAGGCAAGAGACTTCTGTCTGTAGCTGCAGTGCCATCAAAGTGTGGGCCTACCAACTGGATCTGATGTTCTGTCAAAACCCCATGTGCACCAGCTACCCAAACTACCATGGACTTGTAGGCCATAAGGTTCCTCTTTGAGACCTACACCCAAAGTTATTTATGATTAAGCACCTTCTGTGATCAGACAGCTGAGATTTATCATGCCCTCCCTCTCTCTCATGCTCTTGCCCTAGAGAGATAGATACTAGATGGTTCATCATTGCCAATGCACATAATCAACTGTTTCATATTCACACTCAACTGCTGGCATGTCAGGTTTCTGAAGTTAATATCCATGGTGCCTGAAACTGGAATGTTAGGTTAATAAAAAATTAAGTGCCAGTTAAACATAACTGCTTAATTCTCCTTTGAGATACATGCACTTCTTACTAAGTCTTCCTCTGAGCCTGCAGCAATACTTTATAGGGACCTCAGAGAAGTCTAAATTAGAGCCTTGACATTCCACTACTCCAGAAAGGCAGTCCAAATTAGAGCCTATATAAGGCTTTTTCTTAAAAACTGTTAGGATGAGGCTAATAAGGATTTTACTTCTCTAAGGAAAACTTTATTTGAAAGTCTCCTAGTTCCTAGCTGCATAGTGATTACATTATTTTAAGTGAAAAAATGCCCCAGTTATCTGACCTGCGCTGGACTGCCTAAGAACCTCCATAGTTGCCTGTTCCCTTCTGAAGGTGTCTCCTATGGCCCACAAAAATTATCCTGCAATTATTTTTTAATTCTATCAATTATCTTAACACAGCTCTTGAGAGTTTGGGGTATGATGCCCATGTTTTAAGTGAAGTGATGAGAAACACATCAAGACCACAGAAAACACCCAAACTTTTATTAATGACTTCTGAAAGTCATAAGGCTCCAATAAAGCTTTAAGCCAGTTGCAAATGCATAACTGGGAGTGTCTCTCACCCATGAAACTATTTAAAGCAAAAAGATCATGTTCACTAAGTTTACAGCTGCAGCTATTTCTAGATGGAACAAACACAGCTATAATTAGAAAGTTTAGAGGCCAAAAGGGGGAAGAATTCTCTGATTGAAATTTCTGCATTAAATTTAATTAGGATGCAGGACTAGGTTGCCAAGGGTTTTTGGGGGGCAGGGGGGAAACATAAGTAACATTTGTTTTTTCTGCAGTAAGTGACAACTTTGCAGAATGCTATAAAAATTTCTGAAAAAAAAATCACACAGCAGTTATTTTTCTGTTTATCCAGTGGAGTGGCCTATTTGACAAGAAATGATACACTCACCACCTTTCACTGAGGCTTACAAACTCCCTAGTGCTCACAAGCTAGGCACTACTTTGGAGGAGAGGCGTAACTTGGTGATAAAACAAAAATTAAGTCTTTGCTGCACACACAGTTCTTAAAGTTTATCCAAATCCTATTCTAGGTACTGAAACCTTGGGTTTGTATAGGCCAAGCTGACATTAGCTCTGAACCTATGGCATTCTGAAGTTCCTCCTGTTTCACACATTTGAAATTACTTCCTAACTACATTTGTATTCACTAATAGATGCCTTAGGCTGCCAATCACTAATTTTTTAGAACTGGAATCAGAATTATCAATTAATGGAATGCTGGCTGCTGCCACAACAGCATCACTGAGCACCAGTGGCTGTTACAATATAAACAAGTGAAAGAGTACAGGTTGAATACCAGCCGTTTGTGCATTGTTGTTTTGCTAATTCCTCTGTAGAGGAAGTTTGTTTCACATACAACAATTATGTTTTTGATTGAGAGTCATGTTGGATAAATTCTCCATCACATTGCATCTGAGAGAGATTTTGTACATGACCAAGATAAGAAATCATTGTCGCAGGAACAGCAACTCCTATTGGATAACCATATCCTTGACTAGTAGTACTTGATTTTTCCATAGTCAAGGCGGCTACAAATCACTCATCCACTGATCATATGAAATGTCAGCTGAGCAGAACAGAGCAAGCTATATACAAAATCCCTCCACATTCACACTGATGACCTGCTTAGTTAGTTGCTCTTGCTCTTCCATTCGCTTGTGTGCTTTTTGCAAATCAAATCCATGTGGAAAATGTTCTGTTTGTACAACTCATAGTATTAGAGTGCTCACTGCAGGACCGCCAAGTGAATGAGAGCCCCTAATAATCTGCTTTTGTTTGACCCTAATGCAAAGATAATGAAACATGTTCACTTCTTTTCTATTTCTAATCAGTTTTTAGACATAGTGTCAAATTATTTACTTTGCATGAGATTTAAGTTTCCTATTATTTGAAAACGTGCTTTTAAACCACTTGATTAGAAAAATCTGCTTGAATGTACTGTCAGTTATTAAAGCACATGTGACTAAGTTTGCATCTGTCAGTATTGTTCTACTGTTTGTATTGAAAGTCTCATTTTAAAGTTGCCCTTTAACACTGTACTATACCTTGTAATTTTTTAGATTCTTCACTTGTATGCTTTAAATGTTTCCAGATGCCTTTAGTTTTAGCTGCTGTAAAATAGCTACTTTGTGTTATTTGATATAGAATTGTTTAAAAAAAACTCCATTTATTTATACAGAGACATTTATAATATTTTACAAACATTCTTATATTCTGAATAAATATTTCTAATTCCATAATGTACTTTAACTGTGTTCATTAAAGGGTAAGGCTGTCCTTCTGTAATACTATTTGTCTAACATCAAACCTGTGATGCTTCACATTAAATCATGGGCCCTAGTCAAAGCAGAGGGCGAGAAGACAGACTCTGTTAGGTCAAAACAGCCAACAGCCAAAGAAACCTCATTTATCACCAATTTCTATTTGGCTGCCTTTTCAAAATCAGTGAAACAGGGAATAAGATCAAGAAGTGGAACTGCAAGGAAGTCATACACGACTACATAAAAGAACGGCAAGCAGCTGTGCAACGTCTGTTAGAAGAATATTCCTGCAATGTTGTCAGTTCTCACTATCAAAGCAGAGTACCTTTGACAGTAAGAGTATATCACATCTTGGTGACTCTCTTAAATAAAAATTACTATTATATAGCTGAGGTCGCTAGTGGAAAAGAATCTATTTCTTTCTCCCCTGAGATCAAAGACTGTCAAGCATTCTGTTTGGGAAAAAATGGTACTAGTACAAATTTAAGAATTGTTGGATTTTATGTATCTAACTCACTCACTCTGTAATCTTACTTTAAAGCAACAACCAAATTGTTAATTATTTGAGATGGCAAACATATACCAATTCTTTATTTTCACTTTCACAGAGACACTCTACCTGTTACTATTTCTTCCTATCATATAAACATACCTTATCTCATACCTTTTTTTTTTTTGAGGAAGATTCACCATGAGCTAACATCTGCCGCCAATCTTCCTCTTTTTGCTAAGGAAGACTGGCCCTGAGCTAACATCCATGCCCATCTTCCTCTACTTTATATGTGGAATGCCAGCCATAGCATAGCTTGAGAAGAGGTGTGTAGGTCTGCACCTGGGATCCGAACCAGCGAACCCCAGGCCGCAGAAGCAGAACGTGCGAACTTAACCGCTGTGCCACCGGGCTGGCCCCCATACTTGTCATTTTTTTATTGGTCCAAAGAGATGCAACCAAAATATGAGCAACTTGGAACCTACAATAACAACAGTAGCAGAAACCAGGTTAAGGTAGTAATTAAAACTGCCCAAGCAGCAAAATTTATTGATATTGCACTACAAACAGTCTAAATTTAAACACGATATTTTTATAGAAAGCCAATATTTTAATGATCAATTGTAAAAATGTTTTGAAATACAAAGGAAATCTCCTATCATTCAAATCGTATTTTGTAAGATAAAAGGTTTTTAAGTTCTAAACTGGTGTCATTTACATCAAAAAGAGAGTAGTAACTGTTAGGACTTTGTTCATTTTCTCAGTGGAGAGTACAGCTGGCATTTCTAGTCCACTTTGGAAGTGCAGTAATCCTGCAAACCTTTAAATTCCCAATTCCTAAACAAGAGTCATTGGAAATCCTTTATTTATGATAGTCACACCCAGTATAAGTGAAAATCAGTCCTTATCCTTTCATTAACCCTGAGGGAAAGACACAAAGCTACTGTTCAGCCAGAATGTAATAAATCCACTCTAAAGGTATCAATTCTCATCACTACAAGGTGACCCCAACAGGTATTTTGGGGTTCCTTTTCTGCTCTCCCTAAATGGTTAGCAACCAAAACAAGCACCAAGAACTTCGTTACTAGATAGACAGAATCACTCGGATAATTTACTTATACAGTCTTTCTCTAAACATTAAAATGCCCTAGAAGGGAAATAAAATGCTGCTAGAATTAAAGCAAAAATTAAAAATTAAATCATTTCACCTAAGACAAAAATGATTACTGTTAACAAATCTATTTAGTTAGCATTTACTCAAGTCCAGTTTTCTCAAATATCATATATTTAGTGAAACCATTTCATCCATTTTTTCTATCAGCGTTTGTAGGTCCCAAATAATAAAATTTAACGTGACTTAGCATAAATATCTTCACCTTTTTCAGACTAAAACCTACTCCCAAGAAAGTTGTTTTAAGACTACATATCTTCCATGAACATCACCTAGTCTCCACAGCATAAAAGACACTTCAAATCTTGTTTTGGAAATAGGCAGGGTATAAAAAGATATCAGTTCTTATTCTCTTTCCCATCCAAACTAAACTGTGTGCCCTCATTTTGGTTAGAAGAAAGACAATCTGACATAAAAGGATTTCACTTAAGTTAGCTAATATATGAACTATAATTCTATTTGATTAATCATTTTATTCTGAAGTAAGATTGTTTTAAATTTTCATTAAAACTGTTAAAATTTAAAATATGAATTGTATGAGTCAACAAAGATGATTTTTATAAGGTATTAAGCTAATAAGCAAACTTCAAAAACAATTACAAGAAAATGTGTGTGTACATATATAGTATGTGCATATATACACAAATATATATATATGCAAAATAGTTCATGGTGTTATTTTCCTTCCCTATTTGTTCCTGAAGAAAAAGTCTGTATTATTTATAAAATGGAAGTCAGATTAGCTGTCTTCTGTCCTAACTTGCAAGTGAAATATGAGCAAAAAAGTAAAATTAAAGACTCAGCTCTCTGGATACTCGCATTTGAAATTAAAGGATACTTGTGCAAGATCCAAACACAAACCTAGAATGAACAGAAGAGGCAGCAGTGCCCCTCGGACAGTAGTGAAACGCACAAACTCTGGCAGACAGGTCTTTTGTGCTCTTCTATCAGTGCATATCCTATGTGTAGTCCATGAAGAGTGCAAGTCCACTGCTACGCATTCATTCCAAAAGTATTAACACATCTAACCAACCAAACTGCTGAGGAACAGTCATTACTTTCCTAAATTTCATTCAGTTGAGAACCTTTACTTTGCTCTCATTTGCTGCCATCCATAGTCTATTCTTAAATATCACAAAGCATGATAAGCCATCATTTTACAAAGAACTAGCTAATTTCTTAAAGTTTGAGAAATGACTAACAATGTAGATTTGTGCCCAAAATGTTTCACACCATAGTTTGTAGCTATAGATTGTTTTAGAACCTCAGATTCAATGAATTAAAAGTAGATTAAATTAAAATGTTATTTTCTACCTCAAGAAGTCCACAACCTAAGAATGTTAACTAAGACCTCTCAAAGACTGAGAATCAGCAGAACACTGCCCATCTCGCCCTAGAACCACACATAAATTTTCCTTGTTCCCAAACCAATTTGACAGCTACATGCATTGAGAGACTCAAAACAGCACAGGTCTCCACAACCCTCCAATCGGCTTGTAGCCCGAGGGTCAAAGTGAAATCATCTCTGGAAGGCAAGATATGATCACCACTTACAAATTCCCACAGCAGGAGAATCAGCATAGGATGCAGCACAATAAAGAGAAAAAAACTATTCCACAGAAGGGGGTGGGCCTCAATGGCCTCTTCCTGGGTAGTCACAGCAAGAAAAAGAATAAAGGAACAATAGGTCTTCAAATGACACTCGAAAGACAGAAGCCAAAACAACACGCAACCACCCACAAGAACCCTCCCACCAAAAAGCAGCAAACGTATGTTCAGGGTCTTTTTCTTCCACTGGACGAAAGGACTAAAGTCTACTTTAAGAGGAGAGTCCATGTGAGACAAAGTTACAAACAAAGGCAGCTAATTTCTGCATTCAATCCCTTTCCCCAGAGCACCCTTGACCGACACTATGCAGCTAATGCAAGCATCTTGTTAGGGTTAGTTCCTTTTAGATTGTGCTTTTGAGCTGGTACCATAGCTAGACTATCGCCTCCACTAACCACAGAAGACACAAGATAAATGGAATCTCTTAACTGGTGATTTCATTAACCTGGAGACCCAGATTAAAGATTCAATTATGAACATTTCTCAAGACAAGACTTCCAAACTTTATCATAGTTTTTGATTTACACTTCTTTGTACTTTATGTTAAAGTCTGAGCAACTAAGCTGGTGGAAATCAGCCCTTCAAGTCCACGCCCGTGCAAGAGGGGTAGCTTTACTCTTTTCCCAAGCTATAGACTACTATTTCAATAGTAAACTGTTTGTCACAAGAAAACTAGATTGAAAGGAATGGACCACCATTCAGGACAAATATACAGCTACCACATGAAGTGAATGACAAAAC